CCTAACCCTTAAGCCCCTGAACCCCTAAACCCCTGAAGCCGCAAGCCCTAAGCACTGGACCTGAGCAGCCATGGCAGGATGCTGGGATGCTGCTGATGATTCGGGGCGGCGAGGGTGGTAGTTTGTTCGGGGTTTGGTTGTAGGGTTTAGGGGTTTAGGGGTTTAGGGTTTAGGGTTTAGTGTTTGGGGGTTTAGGGTTTAGAGTTTAGGGTAGTGTGTCAGATTTCAGGATTTGCTTAGGGTGTGGGTTCGCGGGTATGGGGTTGCAGTCCTCGTCACAGCAACAGTCATGGCCATGCTCCAAGCGAGGAGGCAGCTAGTCAAGCAAAGCAAAACCCTAAACCCTAAACCCCAAACCCCAAACCCTAAACCCTAAACCCTAAACCCTAAACCCTAAACCCTAACCCTAAACCCTAACCCTAGACCCTAAACCCTAAACCCTAAACCCTAAACCCTGAACTCTAAACCCTAAACCCTAAACCGTGCAATGGCCGCAACATGAGCAGAGTGAGGCTCGCTTCCAGGCATCAGGCTTTGTAGCTTCGAGTTGCAGCGGTCTTAGGGCCCCAGGGTTTAGGGTTTAGAGTTTAGAGTTTAGGGTTTAGGTTCCCCAATAGTACCCTTCTTACATTAGTATTTTTATTCGGAGTCTATTCACTAAGTAAGACTGAATAGCAGAAAAAGAGTCTTGGGCACGCTTATTCATATTCTTAGCTTTATAATGATAAGAAGCGCTATCGTTGCTATTATTCTTGTCATGAGTTGCTAGTATGACTAACACAGACGACAACACATTATAGGCCCCATGCTGGAGGCGCATAGCGGGGAACCGGGCGGTGCTGTGCGCCTAGGTCCTAGGTTCAGGCTTTATGGGCGACCCTGGTCCAGCGTTGAGGCGTCAATGAAGGAGGAAAGCTTTAACTAGAGGTCTTGATAATTAGTAGTCAAATCCCTTTTAGTCCCGAGACACTCTGAGAAAGAGGCCTGGTTGATTGGCAGAAAGTAGTCGTCGTCGTAGTAGTCGCAGTAGTCTTGTATAGTATAGTCCCGATGCTTTATGCACAAGGGCTGACGAATGGGTACACGCACCCACTTCTTGTCCGTATATGGTTTTGCTCTGCCGTTGTCGTCCCTTTATAACATACTATGGTATCGCCAGAATCGTTCTAATCCTAACGACGGTAGTCAGGGTGAAAAGCCATTCTAGCCTTGGCATGTAGGATTCTCTGAGTACGGAAACCCTAAACCCTAAACCCCGAGTCCGGGAAGTTGCTAGACTGCAACCCTGTGGATAGTCGTAGCCAGGTAGAATGTACAAAACGCGCCACGAGGCTTCGGTAGAAAAAGCCCTGGACAGCGGGCTTCCGTTTGGGTCAAAGGTCAAACCAAAGCCCTACAATGGCCTAACCAAGAGAAATGCGACATCCGGTTTCCGATAATAGGGGACCCTATAGAGTACCCATGAGTACCCTAAATAGTAGGATCCGTATTATAAGGAGCCCAAAACAAGGTAATATAGGGGCCTAAATAAGTACCTATACTATTTTGGGCGGCTCCTTATTATAATATATTATAGTATAATGGGCCCAACATCCTACTCTAATTGTTAACGCCCCTACATTATCCCCTTAACTCCCCAAAACACCAACCCTGAACCCTAAGCCCTATGCTCGACCCGAACCTCTTCAATTCCCGGCCTGAAGGCCCGAAAGCTGCAGCCTCACTAAACCAAAAGGTTTAGGGTTGTAGGGTTTTTAGGGTTTATAATGTATGAAGCCCTAAAAACCCTAAACTCTACCATAGTTTTCAGGGCTTTAGGGTTTTAGGCTTTAGGATTTAGGGCTTTGGCGCTTTAGGGTTTTGGGGTTTAGGGTTTAGGGCTTACTTTAGGGCTTTAGGGTTGTAGAATTTTGAGTTTAGGCTTTTAGGACTTTAGGGTTTTTAGGGTTTAGGGTATAAAGCCCTAAAACCCTAAACCCTAGAAATTTCAACCCAAAACCCAACATCCAAAACCTCCACTCTCGCGAGCATCGAAACCCCCAGCCCAACAGTGCTGAACCCCCAACCACGCGAACCTACTGACTCTAGGCCACTAAGCCCTAAACCCCCAAACCCTGAAGCCTAAACGCTGTGCCCAGCGGGCCCAACAGGAAATTATTATGGAGACTGGTAGGTTGTGTAGCCTATGTTTTCGGTCAAAACACTGAACACGGCAATGGGGTCAGGGTGGTGATGGTGACGGTGTTCGGGGTTGTGGATCATGATGATGATGATGATGATGATGATCACCATGATGATGATGAGGAGGAGGAGGATGAGGGTGAGCCTGAGGATGAGGACAAGGAGAATGGTGATGATGAGGATGATTTGAGTATGCCTATGATGAAAGCAATAACCATTGAGATCTCGCGCAATGAGGATTACCGATTTTTCTATGTGCCGGTTTTGTCTCTTGTTGATAGTGGTCAAGGCGCGGCTCAGGGGTTTAGGCGTTTTCGATGGTCTTCAGGCTGTCAAGCATCCTCATCACAGTGTTTACCGACTCGGTGAATATTCGGCGATTCCTGTCTCCCATGATTGTGGCGAGTCTGCTGATGATGACGATGATGATGAGTGTGATATGATGATGATGACAATATTAATTACGCCTGTGTCGATGACGTTGATGGTGGCGGTGAGCAAGGTGACACCATCAAAGCCATGCTCACGGTAATCTGGCCAGATTATGACCGCGATGGCTTGCAACTTGATACTGATAGTGCTACGGGGGGGCTACTTCAGATCTTGATTGTTGTTCTTGCTGCCGTTGCTGATGACACTGAGCTTGTGGTGTCGAGGCCCTATTCTAATATCCCAAATACCAACTAAGAGTCGGGTGAAAGCCTTCGGCTCAAAATCTGTTGCAGCCAGTGCTCCCGCACCCGACAAAAACCAGCATGCCGCTTGACTTTCTACCGAGTCGATACAAGGGTTTAGGGTTTGGTGCGTAGGTTTCGTGTTTGGCCTATGCCACGACGATCATCGCCCTCATTCAAAACCTATCTGTCATCATCACCGCACTCCGTGCTGTTGCCCTCGTCATTGTGGCTCGTCGTTGACATCCGCTCGGCTGACATCCGCTGGCTGGAGTTGGTTATGACTCTTATGACATGTGATTGCAGGAATGCTGGTTCAGCAGCGAGATGGTCGTGTCCTAAACATGTGCACTGCAACGGAAGGCTTGTGTCTAGTGGAAATCAGAAACAGGGAAAGAGGCAGAGAGAGGGAGAGAGGGACGGAGGCTGATGAATAGTGTGAGAGCAAGAAGGAGAGGGTAAGCGAGAGAGATAGAGAGAGAAAGACAGAGGCTAATAACAGTGTCTGTGTGCCCATCAAATGGCGGTTGTTCTCACGGTCTTGATTTCTTACCGCTGGAGCTTCCCGCTTTGGTGTTGTTTATGTAGTTGCCCCTAGCTCCTGCTTTCGTTCGCTTAAAGAAGAGGTAGTAGACTTGTGAGAGTGCTGTTCTCGGGGTTGGAGCTAGTAGTAATCTAAACCCGAAGCCCTAACCCCTAAACCCTAAACCCAAACTTCAAACCCAAAACCCTAAACCCTAAACCCTAAATATTTATCTAAACCCCAAGCCCTAACCCCCTAAACCCCAAAAGCGTTAGTAGCAGTTCGAAAGCAGCTCCTACTCCGACCTAGCTCCACACACTTTGAGTAACACCGGGCAGCATCTACCAGTATGCTATTAGGGCTTTGGGGCTTTAGGGGTTTACGGGTTTAGGTTTTAGGGGCTTAGAGTTTAGGGGTTCAGGGGTTTAGGGTTTAGGGTCTAGGGCTTGAAGGCTTTAGGGCTTTAGGGTTAAGGGTTTGGAAGCATGAGCTAGATCTTATTCGTGAGGGTTCCCTGCTATAGAATTAGAGTATAAAAGCACCCAAACCCTGTTGTCATTGTTAAGGCCTTTACAGTGTATTATGTTATCCCGGGCCAACACCGTCCTACTTCAGTGGATCACCGAAGGCCAGGAAGAGATCACATCTTTCAGAGGGACCCTAATCTTGAAAAAAGAGCTTGTAGGGTTTAGGGTTTTGAGGGTCATGGTTGGCATGCTGTAGTAACTATACACGGGACTAAGTGACTATAAAGGTAACATATTTAGCCTTCTATGTTCACCACTACCGGTCTCTACTGTCTTGGAGCGCACGAAGCTCGAGACGGAAGCGTGAAACCCACCAGCATCTGCTACAAATCCCGAAGCTCTTTTGGGGCCAGAAGCACAAGAAGGCGGCCTTTAGAGGGCTTTTGTCGGGGTTCCGAAGTCATTGTTGATAAGGCAGAGCAGATGTGTAGCTACCATGCAGATGTTTAGCTACCGTATGAATATTATAACCGCGGGTATGCGAAGGAAGAATGTGAGGACTTGCCGATGCGTCCGTTGTGGAAGACCAGCATTCGAAGATTTGGTCTGAAGGTATTTAGGCGGAACTGCAGTGATCAGACGACACTAAGTCCTCAATTTCAGCCCCTAGAAGCCCTACCCGTAGCCCAAAGCTGTTGCATGATTTGAAGGAGATATGTGGAAATTTGCTGAAGCGCTCTAAAGCTGTAATATAGAAGCCTAAATGAGTACCAATTTTATTCCTCAGCGTTCCTTATTGTTGCAATCAGAGTATAAAGGAGCCCAAAGCCATAATATTAAAATTGTTAAAGCCCCCCTACATAATTACCAGTATTATTCCTAAAGGTTCCTTGTTGTTGAAATCATAGTATACAGGAGCCCAAGGCCCTATTCTAATTGTTGAGGCCCCTTTGTTAGGGTTTCGGAGCCATATGGGTTTTTGGGTCCTTATTATTATAATACGGCACCTATTATTTAGGGTACCCCAGAAGGGACCATAATTTTGACAACCACCAAAGCCATAATGTTCTAATCCTAAACCCTAATTAAACCCTAAACCCTAAACCCTGAATGTTAAAAGGGTTTCGGAGCCATAAGCAGACCCACCGAACTCAGGCCGGGATTCCCGCGGCAGGGCACCGGCAGGCGCTTGCAGATGGAGAGCGAGGTGCAGGGTTTAGGGTTTAGGGTTGAGGAGAACAGTTCTGATTTGTTGCTCCCAAACTTTGGCATGTCCTAAATCCTCAGACCCTGAACGCTAGAGCCTGAACCCTCAACCCGTCGTTAGTCGGCATTGATGGCCAACCTAGGATGGGTGGAGAGCGAGACGGGGTTCAACATTCAAGCATAACCTAAACCCTGAACCCCCAGTTCCTACCCTAAACCCTAAACCCTCAAGAAAGAACTAGAAGACGAGTGGCCCGAAAGCATCATTAGCCATGAGTTTTGGGGCCATGAGTGTCGGCTATAGAGAGTCTATAGAGAGTCTAAAGAGAGTGTCGTAGAGTCAAGTGTGGTAAAGTCAAGTGTCGTAGAG